TTTGTTCATCATATTTATTTCATGGGTATTGACTGGTTTTAAAAACTATGAATGTAGCTTTTGGTAAAAAGTCGACACAGCTAGGCTGTTCATATTACTGATTGTCCGTCGTCGTCGTCAACTTTACAATTTTAACTTCTTCTTTGAAACTGCAAGTCAGAATGTTTTAAAATTTGATATGCAAGTACCCTGGATGGTTCTTTCTCAGATTTGTTCATTTCATGTCAAAATCTCAAATTCTCTATTTTTGATGAATATTTTTGTCATTTTTGGTAAAAATTGATATTTTTGATAAGTTCGATTGCTTTGATATTACATATATAGGTACTACATGTGGACCTGTATCAGATTTGTTCATTTTGTGATGATATCTTTAATTCTCTAATTTTGGTGAATATTTTTGACATTTTTGGTAAAAAGTGATATTTTCGACTTCTTGTTAAAAAACGCAAGTCTGATTGCTTTGATATTACATATATAGGTACTACATGTGGATCTTTCTCAGATTTGTTCATTTTGTGATGATATCTTCAATTCTCTAATTTTGAGGAATATTTTTGTCATTTTTGGTAAAAAGTGATATTTTCGACTTCTTGCTAAAAGCCGCAAGTCTGATTGCTTTGATATTACATATATAGGTACTACATGTGGACCTTTCCCAGATTTGTTCATTTTGTGATGATATCTTCAATTCTCTAATTTTGAGGAATATTTTTGCCATTTTTGGTAAAAAGTGATATTTTCGACTTCTTGTTAAAAACCGCAAGTCTGATTGCTTTGATATTACATATATAGGTACTACATGTGGACCTTTATCAGATTTGTTCATTTTGTGATGATATCTTCAATTCTCTAATTTTGAGGAATATTTTTGTCATTTTTGGTAAAAAGTGATATTTTCGACTTCTTGTTAAAGCCGCAAGTCCAATTGCTTTGATATTACAAATATAGGTACTACATGTGGACCTCTCTCAGATTTGTTCACTTTGTGATGATATCTTCCATTCTCTAATTTTGAGGAATATTGTTGTCATTTTTGGTAAAAAGTGATATTTTTGACTTCTTGTTAAAAACCACAAGTGTGATTGCTTTGATACTATACATATTGTTCATTTTCTAATGACATCTTCAGTTCTTTAATTGAAAGGTGCATTGCTAACAGTGGAGCTATCTCAGCCAACAGGCTGCTTGTTGACTTCTTCATTTGATCAGTTCTGGGTAGTACAAATTTGATAATTTTATTCACCTGTACAATTTCTACATTTACATGTACCTGTCCCAGCAAAAATCTGGTTGGGAATTGGTGGACATGCTGTTTCAATCAATTTATTTTAATTTTATATTCTATCTGGTATGTCTTGTAAATGACTGCAATCACTATTTTTGTGTATTAGGTTACAGGCTGAGTTAGATCATTGTAAAACACAGTCAATGGAAGGGATGTGTGAAATGCTTAAATTGGAATTACAGCAACTACAACAGAAAAATTGGCAACAACAACTGCAACAGAATTCAAAAATTAGAAATGAACACTCATATCAAAATCATAGACTTTTAAAGAGATCACAGGTAAGAAGTAGTCATGTATTTTCTTTTTTTTTTTACTTTATGTAGTGACCATGCTTGGTTGGTTGGTTGGTTGCCTCTATATACATGTACATGTACAATGTACCTTTCTGGTTTGGTTGCCTCTACATAGTGACCACACTAGCTTATTTGTTTCTGTACTGTGATCACTCTGGCTTGGTTGCCTCTGCATAGTGGGCACTATGGCTTAGTTGTTTTTGTATAGTGACATTCATGTTTGGTTGCCTCTACATAGTGACCACACTAGCTTATTTGTTTCTGTACTGTGATCACTCTGGCTTGGTTGCCTCTGCATGACAGTGGGCACTTTGGCTTAGTTGTTTTTGTATAGTGACTTTCAAGTTTGGTTGCCTCTACATAGTGACCACACTAGCTTATTTGTTTCTGTACTGTGATCACTCTGGCTTGGTTGCCTCTGCATGACAGTGGGCACTTTGGCTTAGTTGTTTTTGTATAGTGACATTCAAGTTTGGTTGCCTCTACATAGTGACCACACTAGCTTATTTGTTTCTGTACTGTGATCACTCTGGCTTGGTTGCCTCTGCATGACAGTGGGCACTTTGGCTTAGTTGTTTTTGTATAGTGACATTCAAGTTTGATTCCCTCTACATAGTGACCACACTAGCTTATTTGTTTCTGTACTGTGATCACTCTGGCTTGGTTGCCTCTGCATGACAGTGGGATTTTGGCTTAGTTGTTTTTGTATAGTGACATTCAAGTTTGGTTGCCTCTACATATAGTAATTCATCTCTAGCCTTGTAGTTACATTATAGCATTTTATTACTATTTACTTTGTGACCTCTAAACAGTAGTCATTCTGGCTTCTTGTCTCTATAGTGATCATTACAACCTGGTTACCTCTTTATACTGATCACTCTGGACTGGTTGCCCCTATATATATTCACCACTACCGGTAATTATAACACTCATATCAATTTAAGAAAGGTCATTGTTTCTTTGTCATAGAAGCTGCATTGAATTAGTACTTTAATGTAGTGACTACTTTATATTGGTAACTTCAATATAGTGGCCACTTTCTTATGGTCATTTGGAATTTGGAATTCAATATAGGGGCAACTTTTATGTAGTGATTTCAATATAGTGGTCATTTGGAATTCAATATAGGAGCAACTTTAAATTTTCAACCTCAATATAGCAGCTGCTTTAGATTGGTAACTTCAATATAGTATTTAAGCCCCCAGCTGAGTGCAGTCCAGGGGCTTACGGGTTTGATTATATCCGTCTCTTCATTTATCCACCTGTCTCATAATTGCGAAAGTTCATAGACCGATTTTTCTCAAACTTTACATAGTTGATATGTGATGATATCCAGACATCCCAAATTTCTTTTTCTGTTCAGATTCAAAATGGCCAACTGCTGGCAATATTTGACACAAAAATAACCTACATTTTATATGTGTAGAACATTATCTTCAAGTTGTACTGGCTGATTCTGTTGAAATGTAGGTACGGTAATACCTTTTGACGTACTGACTCACATTCTTCATTTTTTCAGATTGACTGCACATTTAGTACTTCAAAATACCTATTTTTGTCTATTTTTGCTTATAACTTGTGAATACTAAGTTTATTGAGATTTGGCACAGTGGCAGTATATTATTTTATGAAAATACAAGTTTTGTCAAGACTATATATGCAATTATGGCTGACCATGAGCCATTTTGCCTAATTCTGCTCATATATCTCAATTTCATGCATAATTTCCAATTACGTCCAGGCTTTGTTGACAGACAGTTGTGTTCTAGCACATAAATGAAAATGGAATTCCAGTATGTTACAAAGAATGTCACCTGGCAGCCACTTACTTTGACGAACATTTTTTTGTCTGTCTCACACATTTCTACCTTATCTGAAATTGCCACTTTCCAATTAGATCCAAACTTGGTTCAAAGACATCAAAGTTGATCAATGCCTTGATCTAATTCAAGATGTCTGACAGGGAAACCATTTGTTTTAACCTTTTGCCAGTATACACATTAGGACCCCCATTTTAATCTATAATGTTGACATTTCATTTGTCATACGTAACAGAGGGCTGTGTTATTCTCAGTTGATTGGTAATTTCAATGAATTGGTTGCCAGTTTAGTGATCACTTGAGATTAGTAATTTCAATATAGTGATCATATTGGATTGGCAATTCAATAGTATATAGTGGCCATTTTGGATTGGCAATTCAATAGTATATAGTGGCCATTTTGGATTGGCAATTCAATAGTATATAGTGGCCATTTTGGATTGGCAATTCAATAGTATATAGTGGCCATTTTGGATTGGCAATTCAATAGTATATAGTGGCCATTTTGGATTGACAGTTCAATATAGTGGCCATTTTGGATTGTAGGTACTTTTTCAGTTTTGCTCTGAAACACTGGTACTCAAAACCATGCAGCAAGTAATATAATTATTATGCAGTGTGTATTTTGGCACATGAATGAAATATTTACAAAAATCCTGTACATAGGGTCAGTTTGAAGCATGGTATTTTTTTCTGAAACTGGTAATATCATTAAATTAATCTGATTTAATTTTGTTTAATTGTAGGGAAAAGTTCGTGGAAGATCCACAGATACGTTTTAAATGTCAAGTCCTATATTCAGTATGTATTCAATGAATTGGAATGAACTTATATTATTACGATTATCCATAATTTGACGCTTTCTCTGATTAATATTTTATTATCAGTTAGAAGTTGTAAGTGTATATTCCAATTGTATTTTGGTACAGAGCATAGCTAGGCTTCACAGAGGATTTATTATGCCATGAGTAATGTATGTGATTTTGTCAGAGAAATTATGAAGAAAAATCTGTCACGGAAATATAATAACAAATATGTAAACAATCGTTGAACCATGCATACATGTATCTGTTGACCTTCATTTATTTACATTACTTGAAGAAAACCCAAGTGGAATGGGAAGCAGAATATTTATACATGTCAGTAGGAGAAAAGATCTTACAAATCAAGTAAGAATATAGACATATTATGCATATACTTTAATGCATTATACACAATACACTGTCAATTTATTTCTATTTATGTTATAGTAAATAAAGGATGCACTGTCTATCATAGTAATGTAACAGAGCAAGAACGGAAATGTATGCAGTACTTGAGAAAATGCAGTCGAGCACATTATTCATGTGAACATCCTTGTTTGAGCCTTATCACATAATAACGTCCTTTATTCCAACTATAATACCCGAAAATGCCAAAAAAATGATTATTCATGTATGTTGTAGTGGTATAGCAAGCTTTCGAAGAAATAAATTGACCATTTGTTGTTAGAGTGTCAAAGGACTTGCATTTCATTTATGTGAACTTTTCAAAATAAACAGCACAGGGTATTATAATTTATTCATGGTTTATTAGTATTATGATTACATTTTCAGTTAACATTCTCACAATTTAAAAATCAGACGATTTTACTATTCATACATATGGACACGTATGTATACAATACTGCAAGAAATCTACTAAATCTAGTAAATAACCATCAAATTACTTTAAATTAAAAAAAAAAAAATTGGCTTTACAATTGATTTGACCAGCAAAATAAAAATGATTTCATGTCTGCAAAAAATAATAAGTTTAAAAGTACTAAGTAAAGTTATCATCACATTACCATGGTGTATATGTTTTATGTGGAATATCAATGTAACAATTCACTCTAAATGTAGCAATATGCATGCTAAACATCATCAATCCATGTGTACTCAAACAGTGCACGGGAAACAAAATTGTGTGACTCTTTATCAAGAGTACGAAAATCAGGATATCTCACGATGTTATTTGTATAAACAAGCTCTACGATAACCTCATACTATATTTTTTGGACATATATTTGTTTGTCCTGAAAATTCAGTTTTGTTAACATTTATGTTATATATACATACATAGTATTTGTTCAACAGTAAAATATATAAACCAACAAATGAGAGCACATCTAATTTCTAGAAATATATATCATATATATAAATGTGTTTTTTGCATCAAATATTTTTAATGTTGTTAATGAGAATTTAAAATGTTTGTGGATATTTTGATCATATCTTGATTATTATGTCATATGACGGACTGCCATAATGTCACCTGGACATGTATGGAAGTTTTTTCAATGAGCTAAATTTCAGAGCCCATATTCATATACAGGACTATAATCATTGTGTTTCAACATTGAGATTATAAAATATATAGTGTTCTTATCAACATAAAAATATTTTTTCTTTCATTTATGTTTTCAAAAAAATGTGTGTTAATCAAGCGTTAGAATAACATTGCTAGCTTTTCTGTTTTATTTAAATTTGAAAGATAAAAAATAACAAAAGATTCTTTCCCACAGTATATTTAATCAAAACAAAAAAATGTATTTAAAGTAAATTTTCTGCCTGAATATTCTATTTGCATATTCTATTGGCAAGAATGCAAATCAAATGACTTCTGTGAAACTGCATGGATAGGTTAATTATTTGTTGTATAAAAAAGTAAGTAGCCAAGGTAGTAAAATTTCACTGGAAGGAAATAGCATTAATAGTCTTGATTTAAAATCTTTTAATCGTTGATATGAACAACTTGAAATATCTGCATAAATATAAAACATCAAAATTTGGAATGATACCTTCTTCATTTGAAAATTTGTAGTACATTTGTGATAATAATCTTGAATTTTTAAATTTCTGGGAGCTTCAGAGTCAATTGGTAATTGGTATAAAAATCAAAAAATATCTTGTCTATTTAACAGTTATAAACGGCAAGCAGGAGTATTTACTAGCCAATATAAGACCTCCCTGGGTAAAATTAGCATATATAGTGGGAGAAAATAAATGGGGATATTATCTGCTCCCAAAATACCGGTATGCTAAATTTACCCAGATAGGTCTTATATTCGCTACCAAATACCTGAGTGTACTGTTTATAATCTCATTATAACATGCTTGTACAAAAAATATGCAACAAAATCATGTTTACCATATATCCTGTTGCTATGTGTAAATTTGCAATTCTCGTCTTTTCTTGGAGTATACTACTAGTACACCTAATAGTATAATAATTCTGAAAACATAATACTCTGGTTTTCACTATGACTTTTGTAAACTGGTATTTGAATTATTTTGAGAGGTGAAAAAAAATACATGGTGTCAATGTCACATGTTTGATTTGAAAACTATGTATGCAAAAATATGTATGTTCAATATATTACCATTTTTGGCAAAAATTCGTATTAGTACTTGTACTTGTACCAAGTTTCCCTGTTTTGATCAGTTGATCATACACCCGCAAACACTATGAATAGTGCTCACATATCAATTCAATTAGATATTTAACCCAGGTTATTCAGTTCCAGGGCAGGATCACATGTCTTCTAGTGCCAGATATAAGAACCTGCTTCAGCCAATCACATGGCTAGATTAAGACTACCGGTAACCATGTTTATCATTTCCACATTTTTCCACATTTCTATAAACTGTGTTTTCTTCCAAAAACAATTTTTCTTTTAGCAAAGCTCTTGGAACTAGATTCTATAATTTAGAAAAAAAACAGTAGTAAATTTGACAACTGATATATAATAGAACTGCTGCACAAAATGTTACTACTTAATACTGTTAAGAAATAAATGATTTGCGACCAGCACATTCATGATTCAAATATTTATAAAGAAGCAGTTTTCAATTCCAATATCTCTGTCATACAAATACAAAATACCATTCATTTTGCTGCTTGTCTACCTAACTAATGCTTCATTATTGCTCGTTTTCATCACCATTTCTCTCTTTTTCATTACAAATTCACAAAAGAGTAAGGACTATAGTCTGCAGTTTCTTTCAACAAATTGGAGAAAGAATAGCAACATTTCTTGAGTAAAAACTGAAAGTCGATTCAAATTTTATCTGCCACCTCCAAAATTAGGGTTTGTTTCCAGCAATATTGAAGAATATACAATAAAAAAGTGCAGAAAAATGGGTGAGAAAGTCTGGTGGTAAGAAGGCTATAAAATCCTTTAAGTTCAACTGTGATGTCTGTGAGATCTTTACTCCATGTTCCTGTACCTCTTCAATCGACTCCTTTGAATACAATGAAGATAATTACTTTTTTTTATATAATAAATACCATGCTTCCAGAAAGTTTTGAAAATTAAGATTGTTCAGGAAATATTGTTGTTTGGCCAAAAAAAAACTAAACAATTATCAAGGGCAGCAAAGGAGCAAGCAATTAAGTTCCATGCAAGATATATCAATTTTGTGGTCAACTCACTGAACAACTTTAACTCTTTGTCCCATTTTTTTTCTTGTATTAACTATTACTGTTATGTGTCAAAGCAATATATTCTTGAGACATCTTGCGCAAGAGTAAAGTGTATCTTAGATCATCGCATAAAATAACATAATTTGAATTTATACTACAGTGAACTGTTATCCTATTTACTGCCACTCTTTACTATACATTGTGTATGTTGCACAGAATAGCAGGCTAATTTTAATCTTCTCAGTTCTATTCAACTATAGTTGCATATACGTCATCATCAATGTCTTGGTTTGGTTCGCTGACGCTGGCCACAGGAGGAGTGTTACATTTCTGACTAGTAAAATAACCTTCGCCATCCATCTCTAGCTCCACAGGTTGGTCTTCCATATCAATACCACCAACTCTGTCATACTCTACATCTTCAGTCAACACTTTAATAGATGACTGATTAGACAGTTGTTCTAATGTATCATACGTTAGTGTTTGCCTGCCAACTGCCGCAGATTGTTTCTTTTTCATAGGGTTAAGCTGAAGATGATCATAAGTTTCCGATTGTTGCTCTTCTGTGCTGGCATCTCCATATATCTCACTACTATGGGGAGGGTGGGGAAAGTTTTCACCAGCTTTTGGTATGTCATAGTCTTCATGCTTGGGATCAAATAGTTGTTCTTGATGAATGTTGATGTTACGACCACATTTCTGCCATCTATCTTGTTGTTCGACAGCAACAGAGTATTCATTCTGCTCCACAACACGGCACATTGGTACACTGTTTACTTTCTCAAGCTTTGGTTTTGGTGGGATTGGAGGTCCAGGCTTAGGATTCATAGACTTCCTGTCTTTCGGTGATTGATTTTGACCAGGTTTCTTCATCAAAGGGTCAGTCTGTCTACGTACCTTTGGACTTTGATTAGCATACTCTGCTGTGCTTCGAGGTCGCAAAATTGTATTATCTTTAGCTTCACTGTCATTCGGAGGTACAGGTGGGAGTACAGGTGTGGGTACTGGTGGAAGACTGCGGTTTATTGGTTGTCCAAGTGTGGGAGAATTCTTAGCATGTTGTGGTGCAGTTACCGTGGAAGTTGTATCATGCATCGGCTTCATTCTGCTAACATAGTCCTCTATTTTATAAAATATATCATTTCCTTCTGTTGTGTTGAACTCAAACAATCCTTGAACATTTTTACACTTTCTGCCAGCTTCAAATGAGAACAATGTACGATCTCTGCCATACCGTCTCAAATACCGATAAGGCCAGGCATACAGGACATGATCAGCACCTACATTAGCCAAGGATATCTTGACACAATCTAGTATCAGCTCATATTCTCCACTC